AAAGAAAAATATTGATGTTCCCTATCCTAGACAAATCTCATACATTATGTATATATAGTTTCAAGAGACTATATCAACTTGCCTAAAATATTTACAGAAATGTGACATAACATGCAATAATAGCAAGCTATTAAGGTAAAAGGGAACTTCAAGAGGCATGTACTCAGGTACTCATTTGACAAATGTGACGGCGAGCTTACTTGGTACTGAGTATGTTGCTGGGCACTGGAGTTAGTCTGGCATCTAGCTGCTTACCTCTAATTGGTTGTTTTGCTGCTGGTATTTCTTTTCTAGTTTGCTCTTAATCCTAATTATGGTGGGTAGAGTCTACGAACTCATATACCAAGGATTTCCATACCCAGTTCCCAGACCTAGTGAATGTGTTGTGGTACTTCTATGATTCCATTAGGCCATATGCCATAAGCAGATGACCTTTAGAAAAGAGAAATTTATTGGGGGTTGGACTGGTGCTGCTGTGTATATAAACGCTAAATACTGGGCCCCCAAGGTCTGGTTGCAATCCTGATGAGCACGTTCTCATGAACACCAAATGATGCTGGGTAAACTGTGTTCACCTATCTTCTCTGACTGGTTCAATAAAAGCAGCTGACAGCTTGTTACTGGGCAGAATGGAGGTAGGCGAGGCTTTGGCTACTGGGAGTTGCAGGTTGGGACCACAGGACCACAAGTAGAGAGGGAGGGAAGGAGAGAAGATGAAAGAGAGAGAGGAGGGGAGGGGTAGGGGAGGGGGAGAGAGGAAGAGAGAGAGAGGGATACAGAGAGAAGGAGGAGGAGGAGGAAGAGGAGAGAGAAGGAAGAGAGAAGAAGAAGAAGAGGAGGTTGCTAACAGACAGGATGGTCCAGAACACATGACTGAGAGAAGTGTCCCCTGAGGATAGATTGATGGAGTAAAAATATCCCAGGAGACATTAAACCAGCAAGTAACTTGGGGAGTGCAGCTGGAAAACAGACAGTCTAGTGTAGAAAATTGTCTTAGTGGCCGAATGCAATCAAGTAAGTCTTTAGAAGCAGAAAAGCTTCTCCGGGTAGTTGTAGAAGAAATCAGGAAGGACTGCACACAGCATTCCTGTCTTGTTCGAACATATAAGAGGCAGCGAGGTAATGAGAATAATTATATTTAATAAGAATTAAGTTTTAGATGAAAATTGTATAAGGCGATATAACTACCATTTCATAGACATAGCATTCTAAAGAAAAGACTTGGCACTTAAAAATTATATGTATCTTTTACACAGGATACTCTTGGCTTCTGTTTATGTTGCTTCCAGAGAGAGAGGGCGGGGGAGGGAGGAGTATGCCAGTGACGGCCTTGGCCTCACCACGTGGCACTGTGTGACTACTGCTGGAAGCCACCTTGCAGTTCTCAGCTTTCAATTAACTGAGGACACATGAGACATCAGTACAGACATACGAACAGTGACAGTTCTTCCCACTTATGGCTTGTAGCCGAGAGTTCACAGGTGCAAGGTTTTATATCCCTATTTTGAAAACGCAAATACAATGTTGGCAAACCTATGCCTTGTGAAGGCAAATCCACCATTTTTTTTTAAAAAAAAGACTTGTATCTATTCATATCTCTGTCTATTTAAGCAGCTGCTCAAAAACTGCTAGTTCCATTTGCCCAGGATTGAATGTGTGTAAGCACTATCCACACAACCGAGCAAAGATGTAATGCCCTGCGGTATTTTAAATGAGATGTTAGTTTCTTTTCTCATTATCCATGGCTTTGCATGGTACTAGACAAATGGAAAATTAAACAGTTTGAATGTGGATATATGAAATGATATCCAAATGAAGAGTTAATGACTTACAGGATTCAGAAAACCACCGCGGGTAGTTTAAGAAGTACTGAGATCAAAAGTTTGGGGATGTTACACTACAGTGTAAGACAAAAATCATAAATCACAAAATAACTTCATTTTGAACACAAAGCATATATTGATGTTTTGGTACATTCTACAAACACCCACTTATTAATGATTGGTCATGAGGACAGCTGATCTATGAGCAACCTTCAGTTGTCATTAAGTGCCTTCTATGTCTGTCTGAAAGCTCCCTGTGAGGTGTAAAGGGAATAAACAAAGATCTGCTGAGTGTTTCCACAGGTCTGTGAACTTTGTATCATAGCAAACACATACAGAGATAGCTGAGGCCAATGTAAAATACTCCTGGGAAGTATCTGAGAAAGAGACTGAGTCATCTAAATGCATTGAACCAATAAGAAGGTGGGCTTGACCTGGGCCTTAGCTTGATTTTGTAAGAATTGGTTTGGCGATAAACACCGGATATAGTATGAGGAAGGGTCAGGACCATTGGAACACTCCAGTTAACTTTCCGTCCTTATGACTGACTACAATAATTTGTTGGTTGTATTCCAAACAGATCAACCAGATCACTATAGACATTAACTACACGGTAGGAAGAAAGCACTAAATCATACAACAGTAAGCTTCATTTAACCCAGCTAACAAGAGTTCTATTTAATGGTTGTTCCCAATAGTTCTTCTTGGTGAATGAAATTGGAAAAGAAGCAACCAGGAACTATTTTTAAAAATATCTAAGGCAAATTCCAAGTTGTAACAGATTTGGTAAAATCTTTATACCCTTTGACTCTGTAAAACTAACCTAAACATGGGTGTTCGGAATTAAATTGTTTTTAAAAATACAACTGCTTTTATTTTGTGTGTGTGGATGTTTTACCAGCTATGCATGTAAGGGCACCATACGTGTACAGTATCCAGTGCCCTCAGAGGTCAGAATACAGTACTGGATGCCTGAAACTGGAGTTACAGATGGTTGTGAGCTGTAGTGTGTGTTGGGAATGGAACTGGGGTCATCTGAAAGAGGAGAAAAACTTTTAACTCCTGAGCCACCTCACCAGGTCCAGAATGACATCCACGAGATAACTGTGCGATACTCCACCCAAGACTGAAATAGCAAAGTGAATTTGTATTCTCAGAAAAACAATATTTTCCAAACATAGTGAGCAAAAGCATGTGAAATGAAAGTAAGCACTTGGATGAACTTTCAGAAAAATATAACAATCTGGGCTGCATCATTTCTAAACGATCGCTTTGACAAAGGATGAAGTGTTTCCACAGACTAAAGCAGACATAGTATCTTAATGGAGGGTAACGGGAGGCCCGGGGTTTGTTTTAGAGACAGAGCATGGAAATATTCAAGGTTCATTTCTTTATAGCGATTCACAGTTTGGCTATGGCGAGCCCTCTATCCGTCTATTTGTAAATAGACAGATACACATTTGTCTATTTAATACAGCAATACTTTGAAGAACTAGTCTCCCTGTTATCCCTACTTTACACATGACTTCCGAGACCAGCCAGCCTGAAGAGATGAAATAATTTGTCGAAGGTCACCAGACTCCAGAATTCAAACCAAATGCATATCCAAAGACTCTGTATTCTGTTAGTGTTTGTGCCCCTCACCCCTTTTAAAGAAAACGTCTCCTTTAGTGTCATGCTTTCCTTGTTATCACACTACATCTCAGAGTCAGACCCTTAGGCTTGATTAATCATTTGACAATACCTTTCAACCACATCAAAACGGAGGGATTTTTTTTTTTTTGCCTTGTAAATATTTCAAATAATACGCACTTGCATTTATTAAGTATATCGATGCGCCAATGGGTGTGGTTAAAATAAAGTGACAGTCACCTTCCGTCGGCAAATGAAATGGTGCTTCACAATTGCTCACCTAGGAGGTATGTGCTAAACGGACAATGAGATCTCAGGGCACACGCTCTGCAGTGAATGTGGGGAGGCGGACAAGACTATCAAATACTGGTTACCGAAGGGAAGCAAAGCAACTCCCATGTGCTTTCATTGGAAATAAAAAAAGCCTGTACATCTAATTACCTCACAGATTAGAACCCATTCATTTCTATGTCTACTCAATATAGTCTATTTGTAAAATAAAAACTTGGTGCATATTCACTGTGAAGACAGTGCTGTTGAAGACTATCACGCACTTTGACTATGATCAGCCCGTATCCCCTCTCTGTTCCCCTAGCCCATCTTGCTTGTCCTCTCCTTCTTCCTCTTCCTTTCCCTAGGTAGACTTGCTTCCACTTTAATACACACCACACACACACACACGCACACGCACACGCACATGCACACGCACACACACACACACACACACACACACAGAGGCCACATATGAGAGAGAAAGTATGTGATATCTTTCTGAGTCTACTTTATTTTGCTTATCACAGAAATACTTGCGTATCTATTTTATTACAGCATTATTTACAATAGCAAATCATACATTCGTGTGCCTGTCAACAGATGAATGGGTACAAAAAAAAACCACTACACACACACACACACACACACATACACACACACACACTCGAGTTTGAAGAATGAAATCATGCTGTTTGCAAGAAAATGGATGGGTGCGTATATCATGAACATATGAGCCTTACTGGAGAAATGTTCTTGCTCTGCCTCATTCACACATGCTCGCCTCCTCTATGGGTGGAAAGAGTGAACCATATTCCCACACAGTGATTTCTGTGGCCATCAGCATTTACTCAGAGCCAAGTCCTTAAGGACCTTTGAAGAGAGACTCAGTCTGGCTTCTTCGTCTGTCACCTCACTCTCAAGACTTGTGGCCGCTAGGGCTCTGTTGCAATCACATACAAATCAGAAAGCCAGTATTCGAATTTTGTGAACCCAGAAGGTAAAACCAGTTTGGTGGGAACCTATAGTGTGTACAGAAGAGCTGACGGCTGGGCCAAACATAGAATGGGACTTTATGATTGAAACCGTGCACACAAGAACTGTGTGCCACTGAAAAGTACCACTTACCTAACTCAGAGTAAAATGTGTACCCATGTCACCCTAGCTGCTATGAGAGCCCAGACATTCATACCCAAGCCTCGGTGGCTTCTCAGGAATGGACAGCTGACATAAACTAGAGTGTAAGAGATCCAGTTCTGGGGGCTTCACACGTACCCATCACGGAGACGTCGTATTCTATCAGCAGCGTTGCTTCTTGTCCGCACTGTTTAAGGATGCTCATGGCCTCTGCATGAGTGGTTCCCAGAAGGCGAATTCCATCCACGCTGAGCAACCTGTCTCCAGGTTTGATGGTGCCCTCTCTAGGGACAGCATAAAGGAACAGTCTTGATTAATTCCGCATAATGGAACTCGGCTTTAATAGGCACTTAGCCAGAGTCCTGCTTTCACACACCCTCTGCCATCGTCTTTCCCATTTGCACTCCTTTCGAGCATCAGGAGTGACAGTAAGAGTGTAAAGAGGTAGCCCCGAACAGAAAATCGCTGTAATACAAAACCCAGTAATGAGAAAAGAACTACCTATTAGCAAATAACCTGGTCACCCGTAGTTAACTCTTGGAGGATGAAGGGAAGGGAGGTACACTTCCCCCTCTTGTATAGGCTTTCTCTTGAAAGTCTAAAATTGATTTATTAGAGCCTGGAAAATAGCATTCACCAATTTCCCCCAAAGTTAGGTTGAATAGAGAAGCCTTTTAATTTCATTCCATTTATCAGCAGTGAACCCGAGTGGAAGACGGAACACTGGGGAGAAGTGTCCCAGTCTGTAAATTTCCCCCGTTGAGTTATGAGGCCATTTGCCAATCATTATGTCAATCCAGTCTCACATGCCTTGGATGAGGCAGGCAAATTATATTCTCCCTGCTGTGACCACAGTCTTAAGGCACTAAGAGATGACAATCAAAGACGTTGGTGACATCAAGGAGACAGGTCAAAGTAACCTCCGAGTCACCACCGTCTCTGCGTGCTGGAAGGAAGGGTCCAAGATGAAAAAGTCAAAAAGAGGTCTGACAAACATGGGACTTGGGAGAATAGAAACGACACCTATAATAAACATCTTTCACTTAGACAATTCTAGGCACGTGACCGAAGTTTCATATTTAGCGCTCCGGTTTCTCCGGATTCTAATTTCATTTGGCAATAATGGGTGGATCGTTTCTGACATCCTTGTTAACCCAAACCATAAAGGTTAATGAGGAATGTGTATACATTGATTTTCTTTTGAAAGAGCAGTCCCCAAGACAAGTGTGGGAAAGGGTGGGACTCTCTGAGGCTTGTATTGTGTGTTGTCCTCTGCAAAGGCAGATGGATGCTAGCGCACGCAAGAAGCCAGCATCTCCTCATTTTCTTATTTTCTGTGAAATATAATCATCTCTAGAAGTGAGCTCACAGCATGAGATCTGGAGGAAACACCTGAACACATAGCCTAGTCCTCTTTTAATACCCGTCTTAACTTAAAGTCTGCCTGTGGCTTAGTTTGGTTAGCTGTAAGAAAGTGAAAGTGCCTCATTTATGGGGTGGTTGTAAGTCTAGAATAAGACTATATTAACCAAATGGGTGATGTTCTTTCTGGAACATAGAAAATGTTTCATAAATTGTACTCATTGTGATGGTTTCTTTCCCAAAAGTTTAAAAAGACAACAACAAAAACAACCAACCCTATCTTGATTCTAAACGAATAGGCAGAAGCAACTTGTGTGTTTTCTTCCTACCCCAACAGCATCTGTGGAAGAAGCTTTCTTCCATTATTCTGGAGCCCACTTTTGCCTTCAGACAACCACGCAGGCTCAAGCATCTTGACAGACAACTAGACTGCGAGTTTACTTGTGACCCAGCAAGGCTTATACGAGAACACCTGAGAGCACTTTCCATTCCCGGCCAATTTCTCGAGGAAGAAACATCTCTAGAGATTGACACAATTTCTTCCATTTGACTAAATGATACTCCCCTGTGATGTCACAGGGTCACCATCATGAGGTGGTGCTGCAGCCCAGGATGATGCCGATGGATGGTCAGAGTCATGGTACCACTGATTCTTCCCAAGATGAGAACACAGCAGTGCTGAAGGACACAGGCCAAGGTTCTGCCTTGAAAGAGCCTGGTGCTTTCAGAAAGTGCTTCTGCAGAGTTGGGCCACCCAGACCTGAGAGGGAGCTGGGGTTGTCTGTATCTACAGTGGAGGGAACTAAGCTCAGAACCAAGCACTTGCCATGGAGGAAGCACAGGACAGGTAGGGACTGGAGGCAAACCCTTATTTTCTCTGTGTCCACAGCTCTGATTCTTTGAGCTTTTAGAGTCTCACCTACGTACTTGATCTCTAGCTGCTACTGTGAGCCATAACAGTCATTTTCTCTCTCAGAATCCCCAGCTGTCTTCTATGGATTTTGCATAATGACACAGAAAGATCTAGTTTACCTGTCAGCAGGCCCTCCAGGACGAACACAGGTTATCACAACCGGACGGGACTTATTTCTATCGTCATGCGCTCCCCCTAGTTAAAAACAAAACAAAACAAAACAAAACAAAACAAAACAAAACAAAACAAAACAAAGGAAGACTGATTAAAACTACTCTTGTTCTTTTCAGAAGAATCACTTACAAAGTGGCAGCTAAGACACTGCAGTGTATTTGTGGGTATATGGAGGAAAACATGCCACTTTCTCTCTGGAATGTAAAACCATTAAAGGGCATATTTATTTTAGGTAGGATGTCTCTGAAGTCACTGCCTCTCCACCTCACAATAAATATAAACAGCTATGGGGTGGTATAAGACATTTGTCAATGGGAATGGCATGAGGTTCATTAATTAAAACTACTGGTCCAATGAGAACATCTGCCAATGGACAGCTATGAGCACCTTACGCCGAGCTTGGGTCATGATATACATGAGGAAGCACCTCTGACCATATGTATTAGAAGAGACTCAAGAAAAGGGCCAAGTGGGAAAGGAAGGGAGGAAGGAAGGAACAAGGGAGGAAGGAAGGAATGGAAGGAAGGAAGGAATGGAAGGAAGGAAGGCAGGAAGGAAGGAAGGGAGGGAGGGAGGGAGGGAGGGAGGGAGGAAGGAAGGAAGGAAGGAAGGAAGGAAGGAAGGAAGGAAGGAAGATAGATAAGTGTGGTGGTACACACTTATAATTCCAGCACTTGGGAAGTAGAAGCAGGAGAAATCCTCCTGAGTATGGAATCACCCTGGTCTTTGGGCTATGTAGCAAGTTCCAGGCTTGCCTGGATTATAGAATATGATCCTGCCTACAACAAACCTAAGTGGCTTATAAATGGCCACTATCAAAATTATAGTGTTCAAACTATTAGGAGCCCATTTGGCATATTTTCCCCTACTGATTGCAAACGGGAATTTAAGTTTTGCCTAAGGAAACTGTCTGTAGAGGCATTTGTAGAACTGTCATTTAGAGATTTGGATAGAAGGCAATCCATTGGAAATTTTCTTTTTGATCCAGGACCAGTTTGTACAACTTCCTTCACCCATGCTCTCCAACCTGTGCTCGAGGCCACCAGTAATGGAGCACCCACGAAGTCTAAGGCAGCCCACTCCACATCTGGACAAGGCAATGTTTACAACATTCTTTCTAATGGTGGTCAGTAGATGCCAACCAAGTCATGCCTTGGTCCTTGTTATATAGACTAGACTATTAGCATATAAAAATATTAGGTCTGCTTTTTCTCCAGACAAGTTTTCCCCAAAGCTGAAAATGGTGGTCCTAGCTCACTAGACTTCTCTATTCTAAGACTGAATATTTCCTATACTTTTATTCTTTGTGTGACCCGACTTCCTTATGCATTGTCATCCTGGGAGATCACGTGGGTAGTTTCTAGTTTCCCAGTATCTGATAAATATGAAGGTCGTTATCATCTCTGTTCAATGAGTGTGTGGTATAACAGACTGTTATTTCCTAAACTAGGCAGTATCCACTTCCTTCATGATTTATCAGTATTCTGATTTATCAGTATTCCCACTGATCCATAGTGAGCTAAAAATTGCAGCTATGTCAAAAAATATCAGATGTGCTACTATTTATCCATCATACTGTCTTGCCGGGATTAGCCACTGGCCCTCAATGAATGGATTGAGGAGAGTAGAGAAACTTTCAGGGTGGGCCTTGAACTGATTTAAAAATATAAATTATGTAAAACTGCAAACCTTTATGTCTAACCAGTGTATCAAGGAAATTCTTAAAGTCTATACAAATGTAGTAGCCACCAGCTAAACCTGGTTCTTCTCGATGAAGACTTTAAAACAGAATAACACCTATTCAATAGAAGGACACTGAATGAATCATTCACTCCTTCTTTCCTGTATGAGGTGCCTCCCACGTATCAGCTAGTATTTCAGCCTCATAAACTTTTGAAATTCTGGAAAATTGTTAAAGGAATATTTTGGTGAGATTACACCACCACGTGCCTGGAGATAGTTGTGGAATTCAGTTGCATCTAGTCACTTTATTTGGTAATGAGAAATTGTTATTGGCTTAAATCTTGAATTAGTAGTTTGATTTGGTATTGATTACCTGTATAGTAATTAGTCATAAATTGTACGGCAGAAGTAATCTTTGATGCCGTTTTTCAACAATTAGAATTTTTCCATGTGTTTCAAAAGCACTTCTCTTATGGTTAGACTGCCAAAGAGAATTTATATTCATTATCTTTTAGCCTAGATATCTTATAGGGAGAGTTTTTACTATGTTATCTAATTATTTTTAAAAGAAATTTAAGAGTGGTTGTGGTTTGTCACCTGACCTTGGAGCCCATCATGTGTCTGAAACATAGGTTTTGGCCAGAGAAATTTCATAACCAGAAAAATGTCATAACCGCTGAGCCAGCACACACAATGAATTCCTAGTTTTATCTTCCGCTTTACTCAGTCAGTGGAAATTATCAACTTGTGTCTTAAATTCATTGATCTTGATTCCTTGAGGTAGGGTCATTGTCTTATGATACCATAGCACTTACTGCTATACTGACCTGTAGATGTGTGCTTAGTAAAGTTTTCAGTGAGAGACGGGTTTGCTAAATGACTGGCCCAGATTAGAATTGAACATTCAGCGCTCAGCTAGAAAGAAAAGCTTGTCCGAGTGAACACAGCTGTTTTAGTGTTTGATACATATATGTATGTGTATATATATGTATATATACATACATATATATATATTTCTAAGATGAGCAGTTAATATTAGTTTATGTTTTATAAATCATCTGGACAGAATTTTTCCTCTTGTAAAGTACAAAATGTTACAGATAACAACAATATCAACAGAAAAAAAATCCCCTCCAAAAGTGTAATGATAAAATTTCTGATGCATACATAATTAGTGAATCTCACTATCACACTATAGATTGAGAACTGCTAATGTTGCAATAGTCTTTCAGGGATGAAACCGCTTATAAGAAAAACAAAATCACAAGAACCCAGAGCCATAGTCCAGAATGAATGAAGTCACCTGACCTCTTTAGCATCAATGCCATCCTGTAACGAGATGGATTGAGCTGACACTCTTGGGTATCCCGAGGACTAGGTTATCTTTGGTCCAATGTTTAGAAAGCTGCTGTAAATAAAATCCATTCCCAAAGAAAGACTCCTCCTGTATTAAATCAAGCCATACCAATACTTTTGACTCCGTAATGCAGAACCAGTTACAAAGACGAAGGAACACTGGGAAGTGCTAAGTCAGTGTGGTCACTGGGAACTGACCACACCTACTGGCTGCTTGCCCTGTATTACTGGGCTAAAAACAAAGCCTGTCATTTGGAATTCATTCCACGCTTCTTCACTGTCTTATTTGTTTAAAGATCACTTCCATCCTGGAAACATCAGGTTTTTAAGGATACCGTCTGTATTTCCTCGTAGATTTTAGCCTCCACCTACCTCGGATGACAAAACCAAAGGTGTTGCCTTCTTTGTGCAGCGTGACCTCCACTGTTCGGAACATGACACTCGATCCTTGTACAGCTGTGTGTGGGAATGAAATGGGAAAGCATGAATGAGTCTACAACTGTAATAGCACTCCTATTGTAGTTTTTTTCAGTGTGACATAATAGGCTTGCAAGTTATGTTGCAAATAATTTATTTTGAAGAAAAGAGCAGTAATTCCAATGAAGTCTGAGAAAAAAATAACTGTAACGGCATTCAGAGACTATAAGTAGTTATGCGTATATATTGTTCCAAGTAGAAGCAAACCTCATAACTAATTCCCTTCCTTCTGGATAGACACATTCTAGATAGGGGGTGATGTTTCTATTGGTTAAACTCTACAGAGCAAGCAAGGCAATTTTCAACAAATAGAAACATTTTTCCTTTGTGAAATAAAAAGACGTTATGACTTCTGCCAAGCTTATGAAATAATTCCCGCCTTCACGTTTAGTTTCAAAGCTGGAATATGAAGCAAACTCGTTCCTCCCGGATTACAATCAATGGATTGCTTGATGGAAATAGATGTTCTGACACGTAGACAGCTGTTCAATGAAGTTGCCAGAAGCCCAAACGCGGTGCGGAGAGCTAATGAAATCCTAAGTACAGTCGCGCCGTGTCGACAAAGAAGACAAAGATCTGCTTAAACTTATCCGTTATCCCTGCATTCTGTTGCTTGCCCTTTATGTTCTCTCATTTCACAAGATAAAGCTTTACTGACAAGTCACAGCGTCTGGTTACATTGAACGACACATGCAAGCATATATCATGTTAAGGCATAGCCCCTAAAAATACTCTGTGAAACTGCTTTTGGGACAGAGTGAGTGACTCTGATTGTATAGCACGTTATTGCTACATGGAAAACAAATCCCACCAAGTGGGTATTTTAACCCGAGGAGTGCGGGGATGATTTTGTTGGGTGCACAGATGAGAACTTGTATGCTGTACAGAAGTAGATGGCTTTCAGTCCCTGAAAACACTGTACAAGGGATGCTGGGAAGGGTGGTGCATGCTTGTAATCACAGCACTTGGGAGGCTGAGGCAGGAAAATTGCGATAACGGGGGTGAAAAGGCAGTCTGGGCTATACAGTGAGATCCTATGTCAAAAAGGTATAATGGTGTCTATAGTCATAACTCTCAGTAACACATTTTATACTGTTACTTGATCTTAACAGGTTTTTTTTTTCATAAAACTCTTAACAGAAAACCTGTGACTCCTATGATGCTTGAGTTACATTGTGTTGTTGTGTTGCCTTTACTGTGGTGTGGAACAGACACACTGTATATTTTTGTTTTTATTTTCTGTGCAGTGCATAACAAATGATGTGAGCTGTTTGGCACTTCCTTATAAAATAAGCCTGGGCCACATGCTTTTACCCAGACCCGGGCTACTATGAATAATATAAGTGCATTTCAGGTAGATCAGGCTGAGGTGTTCAGTGGGGGCTGGATTATAAAATCATCCTGACTTCACAACCGTTTCAACTCTAGATGGGTTTCTTGAGACTTAACTCCATCCAAACCCCAGGAACATCTGCATATAGACATGTTTAAAGAACCAATAATAATTACCCTCTTCTTGCCATTTGTACAACTAGCTAGTGGTTTAAACGAAGCATTAGGTGTCGTTATTTTTAATGATTAGAAACACTAAACCCTCAAAGGGATCCTGCAGGAACCAGTATGAAAGCTACCCTTCAAACTCACAGAATCAGGCTGGTACACAGAGTTGATGGGCAGACTACCAGGCTGGGCCATAAAGGACAGGAAAAACCCGGATATGCTGAGAAGCAGCACAAAGCATCCGGCTGGACAAATGTTTGCTATGTGGCTGATTTAATTGAATGTCCCCTCCTGGCTATCAAGGGACTCCCAGTTTACCCTAATCAACTAGAAGCAGTGCATACAAACAAACCAAAGAATTGAGGGATAGTTTTAATTAAACGAAGAACGAAACTGGGCTCGAGCTAAATGATTTCTTATTTCCACGAGCCAACAAGCCACTTGAAGAATACAACATTTTCACTTTAAGGGTGAGGAAGGCAAAGACGTGGCGAGAAATAACTGATGGACCATCTACTCTGTGCCCAGAACTCAGCAATGTGGTTTGCAAATATTAGTTTATTTAATCATTGAATCATCTTTTAATTATATGCAACCAAATTCCAGCTCTGGGCCACCTGTGCTCGTTGGCTGGATATCTGTTCCGGGAATATGAAGTGCTAGAATTTTAATTTGGTTTTGGCTTTCTATAGCTGACCACAGAATTCTTAAGAGTCAAATCTGGTCCATATGAAGACTTTGGGACTACCCACAGCTTCAGATTACCCTCAGGCTACTCGCCACCATTTGCAATGGTAACTGTTATCGTTGGCAACATTTTAACATAGCTAACAAACCATGTCGGATCTCTAGAGTTTTTATTCACATGATTGGCCCTTGATGATTTTCTTTTTCACACTCAATATTAGCATCCTTGTAGCTACCGTGGTAATTATTCCACAGACAGGTAATGAAGGCACTTAGCCAAAGGATCACAGGGGCCAGGCATAAGGTCTCCTCGATACTGCGGTTCCTTGTTTCTAACTGTGAATTTTCTTTTTTTTCTTTTTCTTTTTTCTTTTTTTCTTTTTTTTCATTTTTTTGGTTTTTCAAGACAGGGTTTCTATGTATAGCCCTGGCTGTCCTGGAACTCACTCTGTAGACCAGCCTGGCCTCGAACTCAGAAATCCACCTGCCTCTGCTTCCCAAGTGCTGGGATTAAAGGCGTGCGCCATCACCGCCCGGCCTAACTGTGAATTTTCATGTGTTTGTCTAAAGCTGCCTTACTGTAGTTGATGTGATTGCTCCAAGCCAAACACTCCACCCTCCTCTCTGTCACTACCTTTACAGGAGAACAGGAGTTGAATTGTTTCCTACTTTATCTGGTCCCCTTACCCACGTGTTTGGCTGTGTCCCTATGGGGGTAGGGGATGAAATCAGGGGCTAGTAATGTGCTCAAGTGGGTGGGACTATCCTCTTTCCCTCTGCTACTGGGGGAGCTCTGTGGCGCACTGCTGCTGTAGACTCAACCCCAGAAAGGGCTGCATGGAGAAATCTTCAAAGGCTCTTCCTTCTCCTTCCCCACTCCCGCCAAGATGACCACGGGGTCCAAAGGAGATGGCTCCACAGTGATATGCTCTCACACACAATATCTGAGGGAAGAAAGGATTCCTTCTGCTGGACAGCTGGTCTGACTCAGCTGATGATGTAACAGTCACCAAACAGACCTGACAGATTTCTCTCTTTAATTATTAAATAGGGAAAATCTGTAGTTCTGAAGTTTAAATAGAAGCACATTTAAGTAAATAAAATGTTCCCAAATTACATTCTGATTTTTTTTATGTGGATGGTAAAATGTTAAGTGTCAATTGAAAATGGCCCAGAATTAGTTAGCATTTCAAAACTCCACTGGGGTTCTGTGGACAGAAGGCACTTTGTGGGATCAATGTTCAATGCATAAACGCCTGAGATACATTTTGCTTATATTCTCCCCAAGTAGTTCTGAGAGTAGTCACAGAAGTTGCCTCTTAAATTGAAGGATGGAAAACAGGTAGACCAAATGCTTCATTTCCATAAAGAAATGGAATCTTAGGAAAGATAAATGGATTGCCCAAGATCAAACTTTATTTTATTTTTCTCTCAAAGACACACACTTCCTTCCTTTTTTTTTTTTTTTCTGATCTTGCAGACAGCTGAGATCCGGGTGTGTGGTTGCTGATGTTGAGGGAATAGGCAGACGGCCGCTTGGGTGGGCCTCAGGTAGCTGCTGAGATGGCCTGGTTAGTTTGAATGCTCTAAGTATATGAATGGCTCATTGATGCCTTCCATCTTTCTGAACTCACAGGTCCTAATAATTTCCTCAATATAAGAAAAATAGATAGAGATTATCCTTGGCAGACCGGCCTCTTCCAGCTGAATTGTATCACGAATGATACGTTGCTGTTTAAAAGCATATTTTCTTTTTGCCTGTCAGCTTTATTGCACAGAGAAGACAAATCTATTTAAGCACCGAGTCTCAGTAGACTTAACTCCTAAACATATCTGATCTCCGCTCTCTCCTCTTTCACTCTACAGATGTTGTAGGGTCCACAGATATCATCTCTCTTGGAAAGCAGTAACAGTCTCAGGCAAATAGATTTGGATATTCTCCTAGTTTCTAAAACGATACCTTAAAACACTGTGGTCTGACCACGCAGTTTTAAAAGCGTGTTAAGATTCACCATGCACATCTTCCATGGGGCCACATCATCTGATTCCTTTTGCCTTGCAGGCTACCTCCCTATCCTGAGTCTCCTTGACTTTACTTTGTGCTCCAACAAGCCCATCTGCAGCCCAGCCTGTGCAGGCCACTGTATCCTCCTACTCCCTTGCTGGACCCTCTGCCCAGACCATTTCTTTTCCTATTCAATCTGTCTCATTCTTTTCCATTCTCCTCCAAGTCCCCAGCTCCGAGTCATCCACGAGCCTGGACAAATCGCCACTCTGGGACTTAGCCTAAACCCTATCGTGAGTTCCTTTAGGAAGGGAATATGTTTTACTGATACCTACCCAGAGGAAGGTTAACCTATCAATGGGAGCCACATCTCTATTGAGGTGGTTTTCTTAACTCTTGGCCAGCGCTTTGAGATAATGATTTAAAGGCAAATTGACTTTTCATAACGTTAAAGAAACCACGATGCCTTATAACAGTAATGCTAATAACGGCTAATATTTGCCAAGTATGTAACAGTGGCCTAAGTATGTGATCACACTACTGAATCCCTGCAACGTACGCCCGGCAATGATGACAGCCATTTACAGGTGGACACTCCTAGGCTCAGAGAACTTAACACAGCCCAGGTATTTTAATCTGGTCCCTGACTCTCAAATACCTTCTGCGTTATCACGATCTCAATTTCCATCGAAATAGCTTGCTCACACTTTCCTTAATATGTCTGTGTACATGGCAAACAAAGACTCAAATGTAATATTCAAACATCCTTTCCCCAATGAGTCAGCCCTCCCTATAACCTTGCCTAGCTTCACGAATGGCAACTGTATCATTCCAGTTGGTATCATTCCAAAACCTTGGGCGTGACCCCTGACTCCACCTTTGCACAGCCTGCCTCAGGTTCATTAGCAAACTCTCTCTCTCTCTCTCTCTCTCTCTCTCTCTCTCTCTCTCTCTCTCTCATCTATCTATCTATCTATCTATCTATCTATCTATCTATCTATCTATCTATCTATCTATCTATCATAGATTAAGAACTTGTAGAATGCCAGGCCATGTTCCAATGTTTAACAAATACTCAGTCGCCTCTCATGGTAACCAACGATCCACCGTTTGCAGATGGTGACACTGAGACATGGAGCTTAAGAAACTTTTCCCAAGACACGTAGCAACTACAAGTGAAGTTGGTCTTTGAGCCCACCTGGCCTGATATCAAAGTTCCTTTCCGATCTGTCCCCATCCTTGTGGCAAGGACGATGTGAACGAATGCCAATGCCGTTATAACGCCATGCATTTAGTATGGTCTCAAAATTTGTCTGCTGCACTCATGACTATGATCGTTGCTTAGTGATAATTAGATGTGATATTATTGTTTTATGGGTTTTTTTATGAGCTTATCCGCTGAAGAGTCAAGGTAAAGCATACAGAGCTTCTCCTAAATCTCAGCACAGTATTTAGACAGCACTGAAGGCATGGGCTTTTAAAATTATATTGATTATTTATTGAGATAGCTTAAATGGCAAAAATGTTCACTGGTCGCTTCAGCGGAACGTGACTCCTTCAAGCTGACTGAACGTTTCTCAGTTTTCTCTGAAGAGACTACATGTCTCCCACCTCAAGTCACTGTGAAATGTGAGGCAGCTGCTCCCCCTCTGCTGTAGTAAGACTGACGACAGAGAGGGAAGTGGCTGGGTTCTCGTTACTTACAGACTGGGGGAAGCTCGTACTCGACCTCCAGGACCACTCTTTCCCCAACGTTTTTCAGCAGGCTGATGATCTCATCATGGCGGAATTTGGCCAGGTTGATCCCGTTCACCGCTTTGATGTAGTCACCCACATCCAGCTGGTCACTTCTGCAAAACAAACCATGTCACAACAGCCGGCACATCCTTCCCAAAGGCCACTCAACTGTGCTTCTCGTGTTCCCTCATTTAGAGTAACATGTCAACATAGCAAACACCCTGCTACTTAGGCTGTGATGGGATCCTACGGGAAGGAGCATGGCTGAGTCTGGGTGGGATACGGTGGGGGTGGGGCTAGCCTACTCACCTGCCTGTTATATTTTGGCACTTCTTTGGTGTGCTACTATCTCTGGTTGTCACTCAAACACTATACCTCTTTTGTTTTTAATATATTATAAAAGCAAAAACTATATATATATGTTTATATGTTTTTTGCTCCCAGGGTTGCTTCTCTAGGGAAGGACCCTGATCCTGGACACTCCAACCCTTTCCCCTTTTTCTCTCCTACTTTTGTTGACTGGCTTTTGGACATTTCATAGCTTTTAATGTCCTTATTAGAAGTAGAACCAGAGTCAGAGCCAAGGAAATTAGTCAGCATATTTTGTTTCTTATTGTTTGCTTGAAAAAAAAATAAAACCTGAATTGCCTATTACTGAACAGGACTGATAAGAATAATATTGGGAAAGAAGAAATTACAGAGAAAGCCTTGAATTTCAATATCATCACCATCACCCCTCATAGAACTCCTCTTTTTTGGGCTTTACTAGACACAGGCTTTCAAATCAAGAGCAGGCAGCGGGCCAGTGGCAGGAGGGAAAATGTATGTCACTGGACACAGGGACAAAGTGTGAGCTTCCTGCTCCGGATGTCCCCTGGGAGACCTCTTAAGTCCTGGTGGGAAGGAAAGCCAGCGGGAAAGGAAACATTTCCCCTGGATACTTGGAGTTGAGCCTCCTGTTCTTCATTTGATAGTTCACATCTTAGGGAGCATTTGTTCCACATTTAGTAGATCCGAACAGCACCTTCCAACTGCGGGCCCATTTGCTAACGATGGGCACAGTCAGACCTTAAGCAATCCTGTAGGAATTAAACCTGTAAGAGCCTAGCTGACACAAAACTCCCGAGGTGACACAAAACTCCTCAGCGCTTCAGCGCAGGGCAGCCAAGCCGCTGGCACAACAGGGGAATAGCTTCTGAAGCACGCCCGCTGTGCTTCTGCAGGGACATGCTGCCTGGCACAGGACAGCTGTCATGACCTTTTCTGATAAGCTCTAATTTTCTGAATTAATTATACCCTTGTTCCTTCTTTTCCCCCATGTTTCCCCCACGAGGCAGTTACCTGGCAGCAATTCCTCCCTGCCGCAGGTTGGACACTCTTGGCTTGCCATCTTTATCAATTCCTCCCGATACCGTCAGGCCAAGAGTGGTTCCCTCCTTCTTCATCAGCTCCACCACGGTGGAGCCCTTGAATTCCTCTGTAAAAGAGAAGCATTCAGCCCATTAAATGAGAGATAGTCCAGAGCTGCTAGCTATGTGGCGAAGCGACTCTACTGCCCGCATTTCCTCCACATTTTCATTGATGAGAAAAGACCTCAGCTTGCATTGCAATTGCATCTCGTGGTGTTGGGAGGGCAGGCGGTGCTGAGTGCAGACGGTGCTGAGTGCAGACGGTGCTGAGTGCGGACGGTGCTGAGTGCGGACGGTGCTGAGCGCAGACGGTGCTGAGTGCAGACGGTACTGAGAAAGGTGGTCTAGGTAGGAGAGGTGATTAAATCGATGCCAGTGGACTGGTCCACTCTGCCATCACAATAAACAGTCTCAATCCTCTTAGATATTGGTGACAGTGTTCTCCCTGGGGTTTCCGCCTCTCTCTAGAGACTTTGTTTTCTATTCTTGCAACTCAAAATACAACAGGACCTTGCCAGGCAAGGAAGAGCAGAATTTTAAATAGTCCTGCAAAAGTATAAAAACGTGGCAGCTGACTCACTGTCCATTGGGCATCCCAGCTTAGGAAGCTAACTGTCAGAAGAGTGTTCTCCATAGCTACTGTCACCACTAGTTCTTAAAAATCAAAGTACCCCAGCTCAGGTGACAGGTCCTGTTGTTTCCTGGACAATATGTCATAGCACAGCAAAACAGCATTGGGTGTCAGGATTTGGGGGTAACTGCCATAAAACTTTGACTATGCTTACATGATTATTAAGGCTCATCAATTTTGTGGAAATAATATCTACACACCAACCAGGAAGTCAAACGTTTGGATTTTAGCCAGGGTAGAAGGTAAGATGATTTTAAGAATACACCTCTTTTAGGGAATAAAAAATGAGAAGGTCAATATTTACTCTGCGGAGGCTTAACAATGATAATCTCTGTATTAGTGGTTTCTGCCATGTTGGTTTCTCCTGTTACACAGATACTTTCTGGATGGGGATGGGGAACCATATGGTTTTCTAATTTGTGCTGGTCAGGTTATCAATTTTAGTAGTCATCAACTTCTAAAATGCCAAGCATACATTAAAACAACAAGAATAGTCTTGTTTTCATTAAGCCACAGGTTGGTTTTTAAAAAAAAAAAAACAGGATTATTTATACCCCCTTTCCATTTTTCTTAATTATGCATAATAGTTAATTATTTTTTCAAAAATCACTATGAATGTTTATTATACAGGTATTTAAATTGTCGATGACAGATTATTCCACCAATATAGTAAAACAAATCATGTTAAGGGAAGAAATAGTATCTCATGTGGTCATGTGCAGAACTGACTACCTGGTGAAAAAAGACAAGATGCACAAACGTGCTAATTTCTTCAGGGACATAGGCGTTATCCTAGTCAGTGGTGTCAGGATTGCCTGGGCCAATGATGTAATGCCCCAGCATGTCAATCAAGAATCCAGCATTTCAAAGTAGCTGAGTTGTATATTATTCTTTAAAGCCGAGTCCAAAGAAGAAGCCATAAGTTTATACTGATGTCAGCTTCACCCATAACATCTCATCTGAAGGCTCAGATAAGGACTGACACTCAAAGATCAAAGGTCTGGCCAACTGCATGAAAGTCCCTGGCCTTTTACATTGTTTTTCAGAGAAGTCTGTACCTAAGCCCATTAGTATTTGCTCGTCATTTGTGCCCCCCTTAAAAAAATAAAAGAACAAACAACCACTTAGACAAGCCATTGACACTGATGTGGGCCCAACAACTGGAGACGTCAACTTAAGAAATAACCCAAGTCTTTGTTGGTAGAAAGCTGGGTTTCAGTGTTGACCACAATGATGCCTTAGTTGGGGGTCTATCTGCAGTACAGACATGTAAGGGTGCCTAGCAGGTCTGGCGGACAAAAAAACTCGTTGAATGTTTTTAAAAGATGCATAGTGGCCCTAGATGCTTCAACATCTCCTTCAGACCTTTAAGATTAGACATACAATTAAGACATATTAATTCTTTGGGAATTTCATACCATGTAATTTGATCCTATTGCTCGTTCCCTGATCTTCCTCTTAACCGTTCCCCAGATCAGCACCTCCTTCTTAACAACTTTATTTTTTTTTCCTTTTTAACCACCAAATTCACTTTGTGTTGTGCAAATACGCAAGGGTGTGACGTCATCCGCTGGAGCATGGTCAGGCTGCCCTGGGGCACACCCTTAAAGAACACTGACTCAACCTTCCTGAGCAGCAACTAATTGTCAATGGCTCCTCCGTTTGGGGTAGGAGGATCGTGTGCCTTTCCCTTCCTCATGCTGAAATGTCGACTGGCTTAATTCTGAGCAGGTCTTGCATGGGTACCTGAAGCTGTTGGGAATTCACAAGTAGCAGTCTTTTCATGTCCAGAAGCCATGGCTCTGCTCCTCCACAATTTATGGCCATTTTAATCTGTCTTTTCTGCTGCAATAGTCTCTGAGAGTTCTCTCTCTCTCTCTCTCTCTCTCTCTCTCTCTCTCTCTCTCTAAATTCTGTGTGTGTGTGTGTGTGTGTGAGAGAGAGAGAGAGAGAGAGGAGAGAAGAGAGGAGAGAGGGGGATGGAGGGAGGGAGAAAGAGGAGAGGGAGAAGAGAGAGGGAGGGAGAGAGGGAGGGAGAGGGAGGGGGAGGGGAGGGAAGAAAGAGAGGGGAAGGGGAGAAAGAGAGGGACGGGGGGAAGACAGGGGGAGGGAGAGGGAGAGGGAGAGGGAGAGGGAGAGGAAGAGGGAGAGGGAGAGGGAGAGGGAGAGGGAGAGGGAGAGGGAGAGG